AAATCTATGTTTTATTTAAAATGTACTTTTATACCCCGAGGGAAAAAATGTAGCGAATTGGGTACCTTTGTACCCAAACGGCAACGCTGCTAATTAAAAGAACTACACCAAACCAGAGCGGCATGCCTCTCTTGTTCGGTGAAATCGTGGGCAGAAAATAAATAAATCATGTTGAATTTCGCTAGATAATGTGATGTCTAATATGTCAGACAGAGCAATGCCGTGAGGCTTGCCTCGGCGGCTATAATTTTTAAAGAGAGAATGAGATGCACAGATGATATATTAGAAGCTGGCGCGGAAAATGGAGCCGTTGTTTATTTAATATTTTGTGGTTTAAGCATGTCCCTTGTCCGGCCCGTAGATTATGAAGAAATATACAAAGATAAGACATCAGGGGTGTACATATTTTAATTTTTTATCATAATGAAAATAAAGTTATTTAGAAAATTCCAAAAGTTAAATTGTAGTTAAAGAACGTAAATAGTCGATTGATACTGGTGAGGCACTGCCTCACCTGCCTCATAGGACCAGCCGCCCCTGCAGGTGTGTGGTTTAAGTCTCCTTGAAACAGTGCCATTGCATGCAAGTGTCCTTGACTGGTGCTGTCCAGTAAGGAAGCCTTTTATACCTCTGAGCTGATATGTGCTTGTTTTCCACAGTAATTCATCCCTATTAGCAAATTTTCTTCCAATATACATTTTTAAGCAGGTATATTTCCAAGTGAGTTATGTTGCTTTCAGATCCAGGCTTATCCAGTATTTTGTAGCTTATGCTCTTTTGGCAAGCAGTTATTTCATTGCCATGTATTCCTCAGTGACTTAAAATATGAATGTATCACTGTTATGTTCTGCCAGTCTGTGGAGTTCTCAGCATTCCCATACTAGTTTAGGGTCTTTTAAAAAAGCTTCCATATATCGTCGGTATACTGCAAAAACTGACCAAGTCAAATTTTATCAGTTTTGAGTTAATTTGACCAAGTCATTCAAAAAAGTTGTTAGTTCTACCAGAAAAATTGACCAAGGCATTTAAATGCACCACAACTGTCAAACAAAACTCGCCTATAATGACTATGTGCATAAGACTATTTTGGTTACATACAAAACTGACCAAGTCAACTTAGTCACTTTTGGCTGTCAGTAGATTGCACTACTTGCCCGTTAGTCGTGTGCTGTTAGTTGATGGTTCAGAACTGTTTACAATTTAAAAACTGTAAAATATTAAAAAAATAATGTCGAGCAGAGGAAAATATTTAGTGTCCTTATGCGTTAATAGTGTTGAAGAGCAAGTGACTGCTAAAAGTAAGTAAAATATTAAAAATAAGTAATAATTTCGTTCTTAAGAAATTGAGGTTAGATTTGTTTCCGTATTTTACATTTTAGTGTGCGTTTATTTCTATCTCGGGCTAAGCATTTATTAAGCAGGAATTTGATATCAAACATGCATTTTAATTGAAATCTCTAGAATTTTGACTTTTACATTGTATTTTACATTTTAGGTGCAGCAGCTGCTGAGCTTCAATTATTAGAAAACTTCACTGTATTTGCCGATAACGAAATACCTTCCACAAGTACTGAAGAGCATGTCACTGCTGAAAGTAAGTAAATATTAAGTAACTATTGTCGTTCTTCAGAAATTGAGGTTAGATTTTTTCCGTATTGCTCTTTACCTAATTTAGTGCTCGGTAAAGGACTACAGGCCAGAGTAAGAAGTGAGGAAATCAGAAACATATGTGGGGCAGACAATTATAAATTAATACATGTGTAAAGAACATGTGTATCGAATCGACACATAAGCAAGATGTCTGACTCAAGGATAATAAGAATAGCCAGGGACAAGTCACCGTGGGGCAAAAGAAGTAGAGGACGCCCAAGGAAAAGATGGATCGAAAATTTAGGGGCAGAATAAAAGGCACCGTTGAACAAAAACAGGCCGTACTGCCTATATAAAAGAAAAAGAAGAAGAAGTAAAAGTTAGTTCATGAAATAACAATGTGTGTTTTTGTAGTTTTCTTGAATATTTTATTTTTTTTATTTATATAGGGCTACACGTTTAAGCAGAAATTTGATAATAAACATGCTGTATTTAAACTGAAACCTCTAGATTTTTTACTTTTATATTTTATTTTAGGCGAAGCAGCTGTAGAGTTTCAATCATCAGAAAACTTCACTGGATTTACCGATGACGAAATACCTTCTACAAGTAATCTCCAAAAAGGTAATTATGAACAGGATAGTGAACCGGAAGCTACTAGTGAATTAGGTTTAGAGAGCAGCGATGAATATGCTCCGGAAAGCGACGAAGAATCAGATGATGAACCACTGACAAAGAAAAGATCACGTTGGAGAAAACCAGAACCAGAAAAATGGAAAAGAAACGTAACAAAGAAGAAAAGAAGTTTGTGTATGCCGTACAATAGCAAAAACAAAATCAAACCAGCCAAAAGTCCAAAATTTGTGAATTGTAATAATTGTAAGTTTAAGTGCACTTTGAAATTTACTGAAGAGGACAGAATTTCTATTTCTTCAAATTATTGGGAACTCGATTATTTACGCCAAAAAGACTTTATTTTATCTTGTGTTATAAGTCATTTGCCAAAAGTTCACAGAATTCGTACCGGCACAGGTACTAGAAAAGAATCTAGCCGCAAATACTATTTTAAGAAAAGTGCTGAAATTATTCAAGTATGCAAAAAATTTTTCTTAAAAACTCTGTGCATTAGTCATGGTCCAGTGGACCATGCTTTAAAAGGCAAAAATCAAAACGGGTTATTTAATATGAAGGATAAAAGGGGAAAGCATGCTCCTTACAATAAAACTCCAGATATACTTGTACAGAAAGTTAAGGAACACATCGAGAGCTTTCCGACTATGGAATCACACTATTGTCGGAAAAGTTCAAATAGGTTATATTTGGATCCCAATTTGTCAATCAGCAAAATGTTTGAGCTTTATATGGAACAGTGCAAACGTCGAGATGAAGCTCATGTTACTGAAATCACATATCGTAGAATATTTGGAAAACATTATAATATGTCATTTTTTAATCCCAAGAAAGACCAGTGTGCAATTTGCAACCAGTATAAGAATAAAAATATTAATGAAGAAGATTATAAGCAACATCTACAAAGAAGAGATGAAGCAGCCGAGGCAAAAAAATCTGACAAACTTCGAGCAGCTGAAGAAAAAACATTTTTAAGTGCTTCATTCGATTTACAAAGTATATTGCAAATACCATCCTCAGACGTGTCACAAATGTATTATTCTCTTAAATTGTGTGCTTACAACTTTACAATCTATGAAGCGGCACCTCCAAATAATGCACACTGTTATGCATGGACAGAGATTAATGGTCAACGTGGCAGCTCCGAGATTGGAACAGCATTGATCAAGTGGATAAACACTCTGCCAAAAGACATTACAGAGATCAGTTTATATTCTGACACCTGCAGCGGCCAAAACCGCAATCAGTTCATTGCCGCATTATTTTTGTATGTTGTAACACATACCCACATTGAGATTTTGCAGCATAATTTTATGGAGAAAGGACATTCGTACATGGAGGTAGACTCAATGCACAGTGCCATTGAGTCTGCCAAGAAAAATGTTGCCATTTTTACCATGAATGATCTGTTGAATATCTTCAAGTTAGCCCGTTCTACAAGACGCAACAAAAAGAGCAGTGCCTACAGAGTTGAAGAATTACGGTATTCAGACTTTTTCGATCTTAAATCCTTAGCACAGGTGTTCTTCAAAAATAGAGTCAAAGATGAAAATGGAGACAAAGTATCATGGTTAAAATTAAAAGTAATGCGTTATGAGAAAAGTCGACCTGGCTGTATTCTTTATAAGTATAATTTTAGTGATCCTAATTATAAGACACTTAGAGTAAGTGGCAAGGGAAGACCTGCTGTTATTCCAAAGAACATTCCAATGTTATACAATGAGCTATTGTCTATACCAGAGAAAAAGAAAAACAGCCTCCTTCAATTGTGCAGAAACAAGATTATTCCGCCAGAGTTCCATGAGTGGTATAAATCGATTCCAGTCGACAAGAAAAAAAAGGTTCTAATACCGGAACCAGCTTCTTCCGAAAGCGAGGACACAGAAACTGATTAGACTTTAATTTTGTTTTATGTACTGACTATAGTTAATAAATAAATGTCATTTCCTAATAAGGTGTTGATTATATTTTTTGAATTTGACTAAGTCAAATTTCTAATTTTTTTTACAACAAAAAGTGACCATGTACATTTTTTTTATAACTATTCAAAGTCTCCAATGTTTAAATATAGTGGTTAAAAACTAAAGTTTTTAATACACAGGATATCAAAATTGCAGTCACATAAAGCTAATATCCGATTTTATATAAAACTTTCAACTTAAACTTCATTTTCCCGAAAACAGTAATTTTTGACTTGGTCAGTTTTTGCAGTATACCGACGATATGCTTTGCTATCTGGATGTGCATATATTAATCTTCTTCAATTGCTAAATTTTCAAAAATGTCTCTTACGAACAATTTACTTTAATTAAAAATTTTTTATACAAAAATTTCTAATATTTCTTTCTAGAGATGTTTCTCTTCAAGTTTTACATTGTGGGTGTTATTGTTATTTTGAATTATTATTATAAAATGTATGACTACCTGACTAAAGATTTCATTGTGCCAGAACATGTGTTAAGTTTGACCCCACATACAGCATTGCAACAAAAAGGGCAAATGTAAAAAATTGTTAGTTATACCTAAATTATCCATGAAATATTTAAAACTTATTAATCAATGTGCTTTGTAAATAAATAGAATCATTGGAGCTGTAGCTTTATAAACATATCGGCATATATTTTACATCTTTAGTCAACATATGACATGGAAATAATACTGGAACTTGTACTTAAAACCAGGTATTTTATAGCAGTTAAGAAACAAAATTAATATTATAAAGGGTTTTTTCTCAAGAAGTAAACAAGGTACGAGTATTTATAAGATAATAGATTATTTACCTGATCTAATAATTCTTGAATTTTAGGACTGTGTAAAACTGCCACTTTATGAGAATGTGGAGTAGGTCTCCTGTTACCTTGTTTAAAGGCAATTACTGGATCCCACCGTTTTGAAATCCATAAAAAGTTTAATTTTTCTTTCCGTCTGTATTCCAGAAAATTTTCATACCTTCTTTGAACACTCATTTTACCTTTAAATAATAACTTAAAACTCACAAGTTAAATAGCAATGTTTACATATGTACACATTTGAATTTCTATAAACCACTGAGATAGGTAAACTAGTTTGAATTGTCAGAACCTCCCGCACAACACCATTATCGTATTGAAGGTTTTTGAAAAGAATCGGAGACGGAGATAGCATTTAATTGTTGATAAAAAAAGTATGAATAATGTATTGCAAAATAACTGTCAAAAATATACCTACATCAATAATATGAAGGTTGCAACGCAACAATGAATATTTGACATTGACACGCTGCAGCTTCAGATATATATATTCCCGAACTTACCCGATGTGATTCATAGACGGCGGGCTTTATATATTTTACAGAGTCTAAGAACCATCGAGCAATAAGACAAAAGAGGGAATCTAATCGTTATAAAAAGGCACGGTTCCTAGACTTACTCCGGTTGCCTCTTCCGACTGGGGTGGGGATGCTTGAGTTACGTCACAGGAATACACAAGAATACAGAACTCTTATTGGCGATTGAAACTGAATGTAGAGGGCAGGTCGATTGCAGTGTCATGGCCGATATAAATGGTATAAACAAAAACAAACATAACATTCGAATATTTACCATTGCTTTTCCATTTCCATGTTTAGTTTGGTTTAAGACGAGTTATTTGTATCATTTAATAATGGAAATTAACCTTAATGATATCTTTGAGTATTGTGGTGAAGCAAAGAGTCCATTGGTTGAAGGGGAAGCAGTTTTCAAGTGATGAATTCCTAAATTTTAACTTTAATGTTTGGAACTGGCTTGTGTATTGATGATGAATCCTATTTTGTGTATACCTGGGAACCCAGAATATAATATTCTGTGTAATGTTTGCCTTAACGTATATATGCATTATTATATCTTATGTTTTTAATATGTTAATTTTTATTTTATACTATTTTTTGACATATGTAAGTACTTTATTGTATATTAACATAAATAAATAACTTTAACTTGGCTTTATTGTAAAATAGTTCATTTGATTACATGAAATTAACCTTAACTTGAGATCACCTCTCAGAAAATATAGCACATGATTTGTCTTTAAAAAATTGCATAATAAATTATTTTTTTATATAATAATTGCATAATAAATTAGTTTTTCAGTTTATTCTAGATTGGATTTAAAATACTTTAACGTAGTCATAATGCTGAAATTTACTAAAAATAATTAATAATTATATTCAAATCAACAGCTGTCTGGTTTGTTTATACCACTTTTATGCCTGGTATTGCGGTATTATAAAACATTTTACTTGCTAAGTAAAATTTAGTTTGAAAGTAAAATAATTTACTCTGCAGATTTGCGTATTTTAAACACATAGTAAATTAATTCTGGAAGTAAATCTGCAAACTAAACTATTCCTTAGTTTTCTACCAAGTAAATTTTATTTAACAAGTAAATATGACAGTTTCAATGTCTTTTCGGCTGGTGTGAAAATATTTAGATTTAATAATATTTTGAAATGTCTTCAGTATCATCAGTGTCAGATGTTAATTCTCCAACTGTATCTAGTGTTGATAGTGACTGGTATTTTTCAATAAATATACAGATGGATTGTGATGCAAATTTAAATGTAATCAATGTAGTTGCTAGATGGCCTGGTTACTCCCACAATAGTCATGTATTTGATAATTCTCTGATAAGAGCTCAGTTTGAAAACAATGAGTTTTGTGAAACATATTTACTGGGTGATAGTGGTTATCTATGCCGAAAATATATTTTAACTCCCTTACATGATCCACAAACGCCAGCTGAAAGGAAATACAATTATACACATATCCACACACAGAATACAATTGAAAGAATGTTTGGTGTCTTAAAGAGAAGGTTTCCTTGTTTGTCTACGGGACCAATGGAATAGAAACACCACTAAATTGATAGAAATAAAATCTTCCGTCCTTCCATGATACTTCAGGCCTTCAAAGCGACAACATCAAATCCCAATAAGAAGTCTCAGATTAGGACACACCTCTACAACACATGAAGACTTGTTGAAGAGAGAAAAGTGTGTTATGTTTGTGAATATAAAGTGATAATGAAGCACATACAGTTGCAAGACTATATCACCTCATTCCAAAATGTAAAGAGTGTCTAGTCAGTGTAAATAGAGCTATTCCAATTATAGTGGCAATTTGTGTATTGCATAATATATGTAGAAGGAGGAATGATGTGCTGACTGATAGTGAAGATGGCAGTAATCACGCGGAGTCAGAAGATAAAAATTTAAACAAGGTCACTAGAAATCAAGATAATTTTGCTGTAAGAAATGCTGTCATTCGTACTGCATTTATTAATTAAATAAAATGTTTATTTTAAAATTATTTACGGTTCAATAAAACATAATATAAGAATTATGAGTGTTTTAATTATTGTATATGTATTTTTAATTTAACAAAAAAAGTGTTGACAATTCAAATAGTCACAGAAATAAAATTAACTTAATTGTGTCAACTTTTTCTTATTAAACTCTGGTAATAAATCTATGAAACAAACTAAATATAACACCAGTAACTTAATGAATATGATATTTATGATACTATAATGAACATGTATTTTTATTACAGAATTTTTCTACAATAAATACATACTTATAAGAAAGTGTTTATACCCACTTTTAACAGATAACTTTGTGAAAAATAGGCAAAATGTTACGGGATCTATTAGTATTTCATTTATCTATAATATTCTCAAGCGATACATTGTCATTTCAAGGAAGTCATGAAAATAAGATCATATCAGCAAGTAGATACATAATCCTTTCATTTTACGGTATTTGAAAAACAAAGTATGTACATATATTTCAGTTTCATTGTTCAGTTTTTTGTGTTTATTATTATTCTTGAGTAAAGTGTTTGATTTTAAGACGGCAAAATGGAATTTGTGTTGTAAAAATATTAGATGAAATAAGCATTCCTTAACTTTTCCAGAGGACACAGCAAGGTTTGTAAATTATTATTTCCTCTTAAATATTGTTTGGGTACCAGTATATGATGTCATTTATATGATACTTCTACAATAATAAGATAACCAATTTTTATTTTAATAACTAATTTACAATAATATAAAATTAACCAAACGGTATTAAATTTCTAAATTCTCGAACTCAACCCCATATTGATGTTTCAGTTGTAGAATCTTTTCTTTAACTGCCAACTCTTTTGTGTCTGTTTCTCTTTTCTCTGTTTCTGTTTTTCTAATTTTAAAACGTCTCTACTTAACTCTTCCTTTTCTTTTCTAATTTTAAGAATACTTAATTTTATTTTTTCCTTCTCTGAATCTTCTTCACACTTATTATTCTTTTTGTGATGTGGGACTTAAAGGCAAACTAAATGCACGACCAAATACTTACCATGTCGAGATAGCATTATGGGGTTTTTTCCTGGTTTTTCCCTCATAATTTACTATGGAATCACTAACAGGAGAATTTTACTGTCATCATGGCATGTGTTTGTCTTTTTAAAGATGAATTACATGCTATGATTTTTTTCTGACAGATATTCTCAAGTTAATGTTGATTTCATGTAATGGAATGAACTATCTTATAAGTAAAGTCGTTCCAAGAGCACAACTCAACAATATTGGCAATATCATTTTAAAGTCGTCTACTTTAAAATGCATAATGTATGTCTGAATTGTCAATATAAATGAGTCAGATAAAATTAAATTATTAGAAGAATTTTTCACTAAGTAACAAAAAAACAAAATTTGTTTTTAGTGTTTGTATTTTGAGAACAATTTCTGAAGTGGAAATTGAAATGTTAATAAACATATTTTAACCTTTAATTGGGGCTTATTCCCAGTTAAATAGTAATTAATTTAAAATGCCACAAGAAAATAGCTTCAGAACAACATTAATTACATATGTTTTACCTTTCTGTTACTGCTTGGCATTTTGCAGGGGTGACAAGAAATTTAACATATCTTGGCAACAGATGTTCTACCATCGCATCAGTTACTTCTGTCAATACTTTACTAAAAGTGGACCTTTCCATGGTAAAAAAAAATAAAATATAGTATATAATAAAATAAAAAGTAAATAAAATATAACATATTGGAATATATTCACTCAATTCTTAATATAAACAACATATCTTGGTTTCATGTGCTAAAGCATTTGATCTTTGCACTTGTCTTAGATGGGGCTGGAGACTTTCGAACCAAATGCAAAGACAATTCCCTCGATAACTTAAATATCTTTTAAAATACGGCTTCCACTAATTCCACTGGATTTACCAAATCTCGCAAAAGTCTTCTCTGAATGTTTTCTTCATCCCTATCAATAAAATAATTTTGTTTACAAAACATAACCTAAATAAATAATATACTATCAAAGAATATAGACGCTTATAAGCGTCTATATTCTTTGATACTATAATTAAAAATATCTTTAACAAACCTTCTAATAGCATCATCTAATTCTTCTAATAACTCATCGTTTAGAATCCGGCCAAAATTCTGGACTAAATAATTCATTTTATATTTTTATTAACTACACGTTATTCCCATCTACAAATAGTATGAGATTAAATCATCTCTTTAAATTGAACCTGTTATCAGAGAATATAATATATTATGTTAGCAAGATAACGTAAAACGTTACCACATAACGTTTTTTTTTACAAACGTTATCTGTGATACATGATCATGATACATGATACATCACATCATTTATTTTATTTATAAAACATTTTTGTTTTGATACATCCATCCAATCACAGGGCTGATTTTTAAGATTCAAATTACGTCACAGGAATACAGTTCAGCTTAATGTTCATTGGTTAGGCGGAAGAGGCAACCGGAGTAAGTCTAGGAACCGTGATAAAAAGGAGACCAAAAAAGTGGCCTCTGATGGCGGACACATCCGGAAATGCAAAGGCGCCAAATTTAAATTTTTCGACATCTATCAACAGTAGCTATATAATATTTTTCAAAATGTGTCTTAGACGAGAAAGTTTTAATTAATTATTAATGATAAGAGTCTAAAATGCGACACAATTGTTAAAAAACTTCAATATAAATAAGATTTCATGTGACATTTGGGACAAACAATGACGTATAATATATAGACTCGGTGAACGCTTTAA